ACAAAGGCGACATGACGGCGAAGCAGACACCCAGACGGGGACACGAGCGGTGATGGTAGCGGCAGGGGCTAAGACGGGACCCTGCAGTACCTCGCTGGCATGTTGCACTGGGAGCGGGGGCGGACTCCCGTCTCAGAAACGGTCCTGCCTCTGTATGTCGCCCTGCCGTCTCTGTAGCTCGATGCCATACACCCAAAAAGCTGGTGATGCTGGCTGATACGACCCCTGCATTAGTAGCTCTGTTTGCACCGTCCCTCTAAGTCTGCCTACTCCGCCAAGAGTTGCAGCATACTGCTTTCGTCACTCCGGTGTTAATAAGGCTGATGCACTGTCCGCCCCCGTGCTTGCTGCTGACAGGTAGTAAATGCATGCGCGAGCTGATGTATCTACACATTGAGGACGAGCGTACATATATGGGTACTAACAAACTGATGCTATATGTAGTCAGGATTTTGAATGACCTTTTCCTCGATAATTAATTGGAAAGTCAATAAAAAGTAAATATTATATTGTTTGGTAAAGTTTCGAACAACAGTTCATTCTCAAGCCACATGAAACAATTGACAATATATCAAGATGTTCCTCGCTAGAGCACTGCATACTATTTCTTCAAACTGATGCTATTTTGTTTCGTTCGAGGATCAAAGAGACTTGACTGGATGGGAATTTTTCGGGTCATAAGGCCAGTGTAGAAACCAGTACTTACATGTATGCCTTGAGCTGGCCGATCGAGATCTACAGAGCAGGTAATTGGAGCATTCACTAATGTCCATTAGCCTGTCTCCCTTAGGAACCGCTCGTCCAGCCCTGGCTCCCGTGGGCAGGAAGCCAGGTATCCGTTCGCTCAGCCTTATCTCCCTTGGGCAAGTGCCCACTCACTCAACCCCATCTCCCGTGGGCACTGGGTATCTCATCCAGCCCCTTCTCGGTCAGTGCCGTTTACCGTGAGTGCCTGCTCTACCACCCCCGTCTCTCATGGGTATCCTCTCCCGTGGGTATCCTTTCCTGTGGGTATGCTCTCTCGTGTGTGCCTCTCCACCAGCTGGGTCCGGTGTGCTGGCCACTCTCCTCTGTACTGCGCGGTTGGTTAGCGCCGACCTCCCCCGTACCGGTCAGACTCCATTAGCGCCACGGGGTGCCCCTGGACAGCGCTCCATTAGCGGAGACGGCCGGTGACGGTGGATGACGCTGCCGTGACCTGCCCCGGGCTGAGTCCGTGGTTCTATAGAGCCTATGGTCGAGCTAGTAAGAGATGTACATCGAGGCAGTCAGAGGGCTGTCTTGCTGTAGGTCGATGTGGCAACGTAAGACCTGATTTTGGACTGCAACGTATAGATGTCAGTCCAACGCCATTGGCTTTGGATGTGACAATAGCTTTCACAAGACAAGACCTGGCTTTAAACTTGCACGTGACTTGATGAGTTGAGCCTGACTCGTGACTCGGTTGACTCGGTAGCGGCGTGACTCGGCTCGTAGCGGATGACTCAGGCGGTTTTATGCCTGGTTAATCGACCGCAGCGGTTTGCCTCTGTCCACCGCACTGCGGTTGGCCTGGGCACCTGTATGTCCTATTCACCTGTCCAGTGATTGACGGTCCCTGGTCGACCGACGCGCCGGGCAGTCTGACCGGCCGACCTTCTGAGTGACCGTATCGGTTCGTGGTATCCACCCTGTGACCGCGCGCCGACCCATCACCTGTAGATATTTATGGACTGATTCCAACAGCTCTACTGCCTCCGCCCCTGCTGCTGCTGCTACGGCCGATCGGAGCCCTCTGCACTGTCAGTGTTTGTCCGCGCCGAGCTGACCGCTCCGTCCGTTTGCAGTGTTTTGTCGAGCGCCACTCGGCTTTCACCGGCAGCCGCAGCCGGCGCCGTTTAAAAAGTTAATTGCGCCCGATACGATCGGCGGTCTCGGGGGCGGTCGGGCAGCGCTGCAGTTGCACCGAGCGACCGCCGCCGGGGTGGCGAGACATCGACACGCCGTAAATAGGCCCGTAATGGCGGACCGGTCAGCGCCACCCGGCCGATCGGCGTGTCATCGCTGCTGCGGCCGCGCGGCCACCGCGCCGGGCTGCAGGGACTTCACGGCGATCATAGCATGTCGATTGTCGATTCGGGGTTATCCCGCTCTGTGTGACGGTCTCTCTCTCTCTCTCTCTCTCTCTCTCTCTCTCTCTCTCTCTCTCTCTCTCTCTCTCTCTCTCTCTCTCTCTCTCTCTCTCTCTCTCTTCTCTTTTTCTTTCTGTCTCTCTCTCTCTCTCTCTCTCTCTCTCTCTCTCTCTCTCTCTCTCTCTCTCTCTCTCTCTCTCTTTCTCTTTTTCTTTCTCTCTCTCTCTCTCTCTCTCTCTCTCTCTCTCTCTCTCTCTCTCTCTCTCTCTCTCTTTCTCTTTTTCTTTCTCTCTCTCTCTCTCTCTCTCTCTCTCTCTCTCTCTCTCTCTCTCTCTCTCTCTCTCTCTCTCTTTCTCTTTTTCTTTCTCTCTCTCTCTCTCTCTCTCTCTCTCTCTCTCTCTCTCTCTCTCTCTCTCTCTCTCTCTCTCTCTCTCTCTCTCTCTCTCTCTACTTTTGTAAATGTGCAGTGTGCACTCTCACTCACGATCGCCTCTTATTTGCCTACTCGTTCTCGTCTATATCTAGCTCGCCGGCAGTCGGTGTCTGATTGATGGGTCTTTTCGCCGTTATCGGCTTATGATCTCAAACTTCTTTGATGCTGCTGTCTCTTCTTGTGTTACGCGCTCTCGGAAATTGATGCATTTACTCTTATCTCATCCTTCCTTCCTTTCTTGTTCTGGCGGTTCTCCCCTCCGTCGCTGGTTCATCTCTTCTTTCATCTGCACTGTCTCCTTATCTCGGTTCCTTCCGTCGCTCTCGTCTCCCCTTCCCCGCCCGTTCTCCCCTTCTCTTTCCCAACTTCCACCGGCCGTCGTCAGTCACGCCTTGAGGCCGGCTGACAGCGGTGGCCGCAGCACGCCCCTCAGATCGTCCTCTGTGATGCCCTGCCGCCCCCGCCCCCGCCGCCGCCCCCGCCCCCGCCCCCGCCGTCAGCCGCCGCCGCGCCACTCGCCCTTGATTAAACACGGCCGGATCAATTGAGGTCGAGCGGCCGCCCGGCCTTTTATCCCCTCGATCGCGCGTAATCTGGTCAATTTGTTGTCGCCGGCAGCGGCGGCGGTCGTGTCTATTTGTGTTTGTCGGCGCGCCGCAGCGGTTGATGAGGTCGACTGCGCGCCGTTAGTGCCGTAAAGCGTGCGGCAAAAACAGCGCGCCTGCGCCGAGGCCGTCGTGCCGAGGCCGCTCTTGGCAGCATGTTTGAGCGCACGGCCTCCATAGCAACTCGGAGGCGGCGGACGAGCTTATATCGGGATACACGGGCCTGCACTATATGACATCTAATGGGCTGACGAGACTAACTAGAGCTTACGCTGAGTATCGGTTTACCAACCGGGAAGACGGCGATGGAGTGGAGACGATGATACCGCTTTTACGCTGCCAGAACGGCGCGGATTCATCTTTCATACGTCAACCACTCCCTGTCTTCTCATATGGCGATTGGTCTGCCCTTTTGTGGTCGGACATTTGGTCTGTCAATGATCGGCCATATGTTTTCCGTCATCAGTCAACCATCAGGCCGTGTTTAGACCGCGTCCTTATGCCGTTCGTATCACCGCCCAGGCCATCTGAAGTCTGTCGAGTCATTCTTTCCGCTGAGCGCCGGCATCACACAGATGCTGCGGCCACCGACTTATGCCCGGGCACGCGTCTGTTGTGTGATTTCCCGAGGAGTCCCGTTTGATACCCGTAGTCTGTGAATGGGCACACCTCTCCCGCGACAGATGGGTGTTTGTGTTTCCTTTCTCCGCATTCAGGCTGGGTGGATGATTTGCTCGGCGCGCCGCCGCACACTCAGCCTCTCCCGCCGCGCCACTTGGATGATGCCACTTTCTCTATGCAGATTGTGACGTCTCATCTGTCGGCTAATGGCCTGGAGCGTGTCAGCGACAGTGGCCGGCGCGGCGGCGGCCGGTGCGCGCCGGCCCGTGTCTCCGGCCCTTCAGAGGCCCTCTGCAGGCCGTCACTCGTATGCAGATGGCGGCCGCGGCGCGCGGCGGAGCGGAGCGGGTCGGCGGCACGGTGCGGCCCGGCCTCACCGGCCGCACACCGACTCTGCTCGGAGTGCGGCGTCTCGAGACGCGGGCGCGGCGATCGATGCGCCCCAGGATCGTCTCGATTAGCGGCGCGGCCGGGATGAATCTGGCGCGGCCGCCGGCAGCGACACGTCGCCACTCGTGTACGGACGATCAATGGGCCGACGACGCGCCTGACACCTGGCGGACGTCCCCGGAAGCTCGGCCGTCCGGTCAGCCTGGGCTCGCGGCGCTGCAGCCCGGACCATTTGGTGAACTGTCAGATAGAGTTGAACATTTATCTTGGGGGCTTTCCGGTTTCTCAGCAGGATAATAGGATTTTACTGCTGAACTCTGTCTTCGATCAATATTGCTCAGTAAACTGAATAGCGACCCCGGAGAAGGCGATTCGCCAGCAATAACACGATTTATTGCACCACAATGAATCCGATTTTTCGATTCATTTCCTATCCGGCGCCGCTGATGGGCTGTTTCCGTTTTTGCGCGGCGGGGTGCCGTACGGCTCTGGGCGGTCAGGGACCGTACAATTAGTGGTCGGTCGGGGCGGGGCGGCTAATGAGCTGAACGGAGACAGAGGGTAATGAGCCGCGACTGACCGCGCTGGCTGCGGGAGGGCCGCGCGACCCGACCGCCGCCCTCACAGCGGCCCTCGCAGCCGCCCCGCCTCCCGGCCTCAGTCTGAGCGGCTCTGCCCGGCTGGGTGTGAGGTCCCGCGGACCTTTGCTGATGACTGATGTCTATTTGCGTCTGAGTAAATTAGAAAATCGTTCGTAACATGTGCAGAATCCCTGTCGGACAGCTGTTGGTTCCTGCTGACGCCGTGCAGGCTGCCTCAACCGAAACATGTCTCCTGTTCTGTGTCTCCGCGGTTGGACTGCCTCCCGCTGCCCCTCCCGAATCCTTGTGCCGAGTCGTGAGGAGCGCCCTGCACAATCGTCATTGTTACCACGGTGATGGAGTCGGGACCGACTGCGGCTGCCAGCTCAGAGCGTCGGAATATCGCTCCGGAACGACCCTATCTGACAGGCCGGCCCAGCTGACGCCAGGCAATTTCGCAGTGTCATTCGCCGTGACGGCCTGTGGGCCCCGAGTTCTGCATGATGGGTTCATCGCGCCGACAGTACGGCCGAAATAACAGCGTGTTGCTCGGCGCCGGGCTGCTGTTTTTATCGGCCGATTTCTGGAGCAAGTAGCCGTGACAAAGGGAGTGCGTCCGTTGTCAGTGTTTTTGTCGACGCGGTGCCGCAGAAGTTTGTGGCACCCCTGTTCTGCAGCTTCTCTGTGGTCGCCGGGGCGGTCTCTGTAATGCCTGACAGCTTTTCGAGGCGCGCACGCTTCTGTCGCTTTTTCCACACGGCTTACATGTCTTTGATGCAGTTTTTGTGGCGGCCAGTTCCCTCCAAAAACCAATTGACGCTGTCGGGTTGGGCCCACGCCCCTGCCTCCCCCGTCCCGGTGGACTATGTTTTTATAATAGCTCGGCGGCACAGGGCTCGGCCCGGTCGCGGCCCCCGCCGCCGCGCTGTCATCGCTATGCCGCTCGGCTCGCCCCCAGTTAAACCCGTCCCTTCCCGCTGCAAATCGGCGCCGCTCGCCGCTCGACCTATCTGTAAAAGGGCCTCTTAACTGGTCGGACGAGTGAGCTTTGTTCGTCGGAAGCGGTCGTCGACTGCGCCGGCCGCCGTCACCGTCGGCTCCCGGCGCGCCGTGCAGCTCTCTTTGTCTGCTCGACGGAGTGGCCTGCCTGCAAATGAATCACACGTCGCGCCTTGCCGTGCTGACTTATGGCTGCGACGAGACGGCGGCGCGGCGCGGCGCGGCGGTGCAGGTGCCGCGTGGACAGTCGGGCGCATCGCACCCTTCACCCGGCCCCGGTGCGTGTGCTACGCAGCTCCGCAAAGGTGTTGGCGTGCGGTCGGCTCCCGCTGGGCTCGGAACAAACCGCGGCGGAGCGCTCGGCTGAGTGCGGGGAGCCCGCAGCGGCCGCTCTCGGCCGGTGAGATATGTTTGTTTTGTCACGGCCGCCGATTTCAGCAGCTCGGCCCGTGCACGCTGCACCTGGGGGCGGGCGGGAGCGCTGTTTCGGCGAGCTGTTACAGCCCGTCGGTCGATGTTTTGACGGATGTTATGTCGCGAGCGGCGCGCGCGAGGTCGCGAGCACTGAGCGACCTTCATGCTACGTGCTCACCGTCACCGTCGTGCGATGTGTTGGGCGTCTGTCACCGCCCCTCGCTATTACCGTACCTACCCTCACCTCCTGTCGACACTGATTCACGTCGAGCTCTACCCCGACGCCCTGATTCACTGGACAGTGCTGGAACTCTGTCCCAACACCCTGACTCACCCGTCTGTGTGAGAATCTGTCCCCTGACCGACGATTTGCCACTTGTCCCCTTCTGGAGCGCATACCGCTCGGGCGACCTGAATCACTCAGACTCTCACCAGTAATGATCGCCGGCAATGCTGACTCAGATCAGATCACCCTCAGGTGGGGAGACACCTGCTGTGAGTCACCCGCTCTGAATGTCCCCCTCTGATCCTTGTCACCCCGACATGACGTGCTACAAGCTGCTCTCACAGCCGGCCAACTTCCAGCAGCCGTGCCGCCGGTGACAGTTCTAGCAGCTCGGGCTGGCGGTTTTACCGCCGCCTTCCATTGCAGTTATATGTAGTTATGGATAGCCACTGAGGCTCCCTGGAGTATATCCAGTGGGCCGGCCATGCTCTGTCGTATCGTATATGTAGTGTGACATAGCGCCTAGCGGCTTGTTTACCGGGATGGTGTTCTAGCCACCCCACCCAAGTACCTACTCGTGTGAGACTCCGTCGGCGGGTCGCCTGATTTCGTGACGCATCAGTGCCACGGCCCCGCCTGACTCAGCTAAAACCACCACCAGAAGATGCATGCCGTGTCTGATTCGTGCGTGCAAGAACTAAGTGGATGTGGGTATATATGATGTTGCTGTATTCGAGGCGGTCGGTGATACACGATCTTGATAGGCGGTTTGCACTCGGTGGCTTGCACTGAGTTAGTGAACAGGCTGTTGAATAAGCCGGTGTTAGTATGCTAGTCATGTCAGCACTATTGTATGTAGAATGTGCGTTGTGTTGGTGGCCGCGCCGAACTGCGAGTTATCACGTTCGTCGTCGAACCGTTCAGCTGAATGACTCTGACCTCGTGTGTACCTTTTTGTTGGCAGACGTACCACCGACCTTCCAGGAGCAGCGATGCAATCCTCACAACAACCCCTTCTTCAAGGAACAAATGATGCAGGTAACTGGAACTGCAGGACTTATCGGAGGAGGGTTGTATTGTGACAGAGGGACTAACATTGCAGTGGAACGGCCTTTATGGAGAAGCTGTCGCTGGGTTGCCTAAGTGATACGTTATGCATGCTATGTGTTATGCATAATGCTGCTTTCGGGATGCGTTGCTGGAAGGCTTTATAAAATATCTCCGTGACCTGAAATAAGTAGATGGGTACCGAGATGATAGAGTTAGAGACTACTGGTTTACTGGGTGTGAGGGCGGGAGCCGAGCGGCGAGGGATGCTGCTCATTGCTCAACTGATGGGGATGGCCAGATTGACAGGAGGCGGGGCGGGCTGTGGCCTGAGCCGCGCGGGTGTCGGTTCAGTTACCTGGTTCCGCCCCTTCCGACGGCTCTGACACCAGTAATGAGGCGAACAGCGCCTACGCTGCACCCGCTGGTGCAGGCGGGCTTCCCCGAAATGTGACCCAACACCTCGCGCAGAGCCCCATTGGCTAACGATCCCACTCCCAGTCACCTGCACCCTGTCCCAGGTGTCAGCCGTGCACTGCCGCACAGCTGCGGTCGGTTTTTGTGGTCAGGTGATATCCTCCTGTCAATCTGTTCCTGGTGATAAGTGTGCACAGGGTGGTCAGATTTGTACTGAAATTGGCTGAACAAGCTGGTTAGATATCTCATTATCTGTCCGACACGCAATCATGCGGCTTTATCCTGGAGTTACTCGACCATGTTCGCCCATCCGCCGTGATGAGCTTTTCTGCCGCAATTGGCCACAGCTCCCATCAGACGCAGTGCTGTGGACAGTGGTCCTTTTCTGACCACTCAGTCGCGACCGGTCAGCCCTCCTCCAGAGAGTGAGTGGCCACCGGTCAGCCCTCGCCAGAGAGAGTGAGTGGCCAGCCACTCGGCGCTTCGATCGATCACCGGTCGCCACAAAGAGTGGCCGCCAGACGGACAAAGCGGCCGCTCACTCGCTCGCTCTCGCCCGCCGGCTGACCGGCGCACTTGGACGCCGCGCCACGCCGCCGGCTGCGTCGTTTTTGCCGCGGTGCGGCGTGCACGCGGCGCACGAGACGCGGCGCACGGTGTGGTGCTCACAACGCTTGGCCGAGCGAGGAGCCAGCTGGGCTCGGAGTGAGCTCCGAGTGAGCTCAGTCAGATGGTGAGCTACACCTGTCGGAGCTAGATAAAAACGGTTCCCTCGAGAGACATAGAACGGCTGAGCTTCTCGCACCGCCCGAACTCCGAGCTCCGACTTCGAGGGAGCTAAGGCAGAGCGAGCTAAGGGCCCAGCGAAGCAGCTCTGCACCCTACGGAGCATGGCCCAGAACGGAGCTGTGTCGCACGAAGCAGCTTGAGACACAGTCCGCCGGACGCGAGGCGCATTGATCGTGTCTGTCGCACGCCATGGGAGCACGGGGTCGACAGATGGGCGGTTTGAGGACGGTCGCGGTGACAGGTGGGCCAGTTGGGACGCTGACTCAGCGCGCCCTCCTCCGCTGTCGCCGCCGCCCAACGCCCACGGCCCGTCACTTGCCGGCCGCCGGTCGAGCGCGGAAATAGACTGGGAATGTCTGACAGCAGGTCAGGTGTCCGTGGCAGGCGGGCCGCCGCGCCGCGGCCCGGGTCCGGGTCTGGGTATGGGCGTCCCCACGCCCGTCACTGCCCTCGGCGCGACTCTGACATCCAATTGGAAAGTGTCAAACCAGTCTCGATTGCAATTGGAAAGCGCTCGGAGATTGGATTGTGACGTGGCCGGAAGCCGGTTGTCGGAGCGCCGTCCGGCGCTCTGTGTCGATCGGTGATAGACGGCTCGGTCGACGCGTCGGTCTCCGCCGGGCTGAGGTACGATTTCAGCCCAAGAGAACCCGCCCGACGCACCGCGTTTCGCTCGGCGGCGCGTCGCGGCTGCCTGGCATGCCAGCCCGCCCCAATCGCCTGCCGCTCGCACCGTGCGCAGCAATTGTCTGCTCCGCGGATGTTTGCGGGTGCGGCTCGACTGTATGTTTGTTTTTCTGTCGCACCAAGTGGCCCCGTTCATCACGGCTGTCGGGTGGCGGCGGCCGCCGGCGCGCGGAATGACAGAGCCTCCGTCGGCGGCCGGGCCGGCGCGGCTGCAGCCGACCCGGCACCGGCCGGATGCGCGCCGCAGCGGCCAGCGACAGATCACGTGTTTGTTGTGGGGATCAATGATGTTTTGAAAGCGGCGAGCTGGCAGCCGGGTGACGGGCGGCGCGCCCCGGCCCGCCGACATGATACCCTGTTTGTGTCCGCGCTGTCGGTGATGTCATGTCGGCCTGACAGTGGTGATCTGTTTGCAGGCGATGGAGCAGATGAACATGCAGCAGCAGCAGTTGCAACAACACCAACACATGCTGCAACATCAACAGCACCAACACCAGGAGCATCTTCATCAGCACCAGCACCATCCAGCTCAGCAGCATCACCCGATGCAGGCGCAGCACCACCAACACCAACACCATCAGCAGATGCTACAGCATCAGCAACAGCAGGCCAACTTCTTCATGGAGCGGGCGCAGGCGCCGCTGCTGGCCTCGGCGCCCGTGCCGTGGCAGCGCGGCGCGGCGCCCTGTCGCGCCTCGTGGGAGGAGGCGCGGCGGCGGCGACAGGCGGCGCGCGGCCGGCGGCGGCTCAGCCTGCCCGGCCGCTCGTCGCCCTGTCCGAACGTGGACGTCCGTCAGCTGGAGCGCCTCTCCCCGCCCGTGTGCTCGTCGGCCGCGCCGCCGGCCTCCGTGCACCAGGCCGGAGGACTAGCCATGCCGAGCTTCCTGGACGATCCCAGCGGCTACCTGGCGCAGCAGACGCAGCTGCTGAACGATACGATGCAGGAGGGACTCAGTCCGGTGCCGCCGCCGCCCCAGCAGCCGACATCGACGGCTCACCCGCAGATGTCGATATCGACAGCAGTGTCGTCAGCGATGTCAGCGTCGGCGGCGGTGACGACCATCACCACGTCTGCCGCGACGCACGCAGTGACGGAAACATCCACCGTACCCCTGAGCGTGAGGACAGCGGAGCCGGCTGCGGCGGCTGAGCCTCCCGCGCCGCCTCCTGCGCGGCAGACATCACCATCACCTCCGCCGCCGTCGCCGCCGCCTACTGAGACACCTGCGGCGTCCCCGCCAGCGGCCTCGCCAGAACCGGCGCCGTCACTGGTCGCGTCACCGCCGCCTCTGATGGCTCCTGAGGTTCCGGTCAGCGAGGCGGCTGTAGAAGAGCCCTCTCCCGCGCCAGCTCCAGTGCCAACCCCGCCGCCGGCCGCGACCAGTACGCCAGTGTCCCTCCCGGCGGCGGTGACGCTGGCGGCTCCCGTGGAGGCGCAGGCGACCACAGTGGCGATGGAGACAGCGCCGTCAGCGCCGATCTCGGTGCCGTCAGCGCCGATCTCCGCGCCGACCCTGGCGCCGGCGGCCTCCACGGCTGTGCTGTCCGGCTCGGCCCCGTCCTCCATCCCGCTGCCGCTGCAGCTGCCCGTCTCGGTCTGCATCCCGGTCTCGTCGTTCTCGATGACACCGGTCTCGGTTTCTATGTCGGTGGCCCTGCCGCTGGTACAGGGAGCCGTCACTAGTGTGCAGCACCCGAGCGCGGCCCGCAGTGCGCCCGGCCGGGTGGCAGCGTCGCGCGCGGCCGCCCCGCCGCCGGTGCGGACCTCGGTCACCGCCACACCGACTACCGTCATGGCGACCCCGCGCGCACCGTCCGCGACGCGGCCGTCGCCGGCGTGCCAGCCGCGGCGCGCCACGCCGCCGACGCTGGCTCCTGCGCCGCCGCCGCAGCAGTACCAGGTGCTGGGCCAGCCGGAGCTGCCGCTGGTGCAGTCGCTGCCGGCCGGACAGATCATTCTGCCGTCCGGCCAGGTGATCCTCACGCAGCCCATCCAGCCGATGCTGCAGTACGTGAACGCGTTCCCGATGCAGAGTCCGGTGCTGCTGCCTGGCGGCGGCCTGCTGCAGACGGTGGAGGAGCCGCGGCCCGTGGCGCCGCCGCCGCCGCCGCCCACCTCCGGCCGCCGACGGCGGCGGAAGCCACAGGAGCGCTCCGCCACGGTGGCCAGCATGCTGCGCGGCGCCGCGCCGCCGGCCGCCGCCGCGCCCGGCGTCATGAACGGCCTCCCGACGTTTGTGGTGGGCGCGGCCGGGAAGCCGCTGGTGCTGAGCTCGGGTCAGCCGGGTGTGAACTTCCTGCAGCCCCTTCTGCTGCCCGGCGCCGGCGGTCAGGTGTTCATCCAGAACATGTCGATGGGCGCGCCGCTGCTCTCTGCCGGCTCTGTATTCCCGGTGAGCGCAGCGCCGCAGGTGGCCGGTGGCCAACTCCTGCAGGTGGTATCGGTTCTCGGTGACGCGGCGGCCCCGGCGGCCCCGGCGGCGGCGGCCGCTCCGCTGGTGGCTGCGCCGCCGGCCGTGGTCCAGACTCCGGCCGACTCGAGCACGCCGGACGGCGCCGGTGGCTGGCCGGGTCGCGTCTCACCGCCGCAGGAAGCCGGCCTGGTCAGCTCCACCGTGGAACCGGCCGACTCTGACACAGAGCCTGAGGAGACGGGCCGCGCGGCGCTGAAGAGGAAGCGGCCTCATCCAGGTGCGTACGGGAAGGGCCGTGTGGGGAGGGTGTTTGTGTGCGGCCGGTGGGAGTGACGGCGAGTTGTTGATCTAGGCGTTTGCTTAATGGTTCCATTGTGGCTCCTGACGTGCGTTGAGAGCCGGCTACGTTACGCTTGAGTGCCTTGTGAGGTATCATTGATGGCTTAGCCCAACAGAATGACGGTTGTTTCCAACTCATTGTGGTTTTGTCGAGCCGCTATGATCATGCAAATATGCTTATGTTAGCCCATCTTCCCTTTTGTCTTGAGCTGCTGTTTTTCCCGCATAATCTTGTCCCCGAAATTTGCTTCTCATCGTCTTCTCTCCCTTTGTTTTTCCTGCATAAATTGCGCTCGTCAGATAGCATCGGTGAGCGGCCGGAACGAGCGGCTGCTACTTTGTTCGACAGTGCATTAAGCCTGACAGAGCGGACGTAAATAACCGGCGAAGAGCGGCGCGTTTCGCTGTCTGGCTTCTGTTAGTCGGAGTGGGGCGCTCGCCACCGATACCGCTGCCGCCCCCGTACAAATAGCTCAGCCAATGACGCAAATGGACGCGAAACCCGCTCGGGAATCCCGCGGTCGGCCGGCCGGCCGCTGATCGATGCATCTCGTATTCTGTTATTGTGTTCTGTCAGAGTGTTTATATTGAGTGCTGCACTCGGCATGCTGATGAACGATAAGCGCGACCATGAAAGTTACATATGGCCAGTTCTAGGGAGTGTACCCGGATGTTTTCCGCATACGGAGCCATTCTATCAGACCTTAACGGCCATTTAATATGTCATGTAATCGCATAGCAATGGTCATGTCATTTTTACTGTCACTGCTGATCACGGAACACGACATGTGTAGGACATTGATCACATTTAACATTCAGTTCGTGACCGCAGGCGACATTCCCGTGTACCCGAGTGCACTCGTTTGACCCCTGATGATCAGACCTCACGGCACGGGCAGCCGTACCGCTCGCCCTGTTCTCCGTACCGTACGCCCCGGCCATGTGTGACGTTTGTTCCCCGTACCCTCCGCAGACGAGCCGGCACAGACGCCGGGGTTCGCTGTCGGAGACCTGGTGTGGGGCTCCAACCAGGGGCTAGACTCGTGGCCCGGCCAGGTCATCCAGCGCACTGATGTGCAGGTAAGACTTCCACACTACGTCGTTCGAACTCGAACGCTTCCACGCCCCGCTGTGACGCTGCGCCACTACATTGACGCCGCTACGGCCGCTGCGGTAGCGAGCGTTTCTATTACCGAGTTGAATAAAACCACATTGATACACCGAACGAATGCAGTTCCTCTGAAAGCCGCAGCGCGCCGCCGACCCGGGCGGTTGTGGCTGCGGTGGCCCTATTTCGTATTCAGCCTGTCCGCGGATGTTTCCGGCGTTTTGCATCGCGCTGTCACCCCCGCCGTCTCCTCTCCCTCCCTCCCTCCCCCCCTCTCTCTCTCTCTCTCTCTCTCTCTCTCTCTCCCTCCCCCTCTCTCTCTCTCTCTCTCTCTCTCCCCCGCCGTTGAGCGGTCTCTGTCTCTGTCTCTGTCTCTGTCTCTGTCTCTGTCTCTCTTCTCTCTCTCTCTCTCTCTCTCTCTCTCTCTCTCTCTCTCTCTCTCTCTCTCTCTCTCTCTCTCTCTCTCTCTCTCTCTCTCTCTCTCTCTCCCTCTCCCCCGCTCCGCCGTTGAGCGGTCTCTGACGTCTGTGACGGGCCGGTGGTCCCACCGAGGACGTCAGACATTCACCCAGCGCGGTAACCGGGCCCTGCACGGGTCGGCCGGAATGCGGAGACAGCTCGGCTGAGTTCGACATACGGCCACCCTTATCAGATGGTGTTGTTATTCGGGAAGCGGTACCGAGCGACCCAACGCAGCGTGATGCGCTCAGGAAGAAACAGGCTCCAAGGCAGTAATTCAATGATGATACCATCGGAGATGCTGTGCGTGCTCGGGTCGACAATCGTGAGCGGCTCATAGCGCGGCACGTTTAAGGGCCATTTTTCTCGCGTGCTCATAATTCTCTGCTGTGTTATGACAGCGGTTCCCTGGTGCGCTGGTTTTCCACGCAATCAGAGGCGGTGGTTGAGCTCGGCGTCCCTCGCGTGTCGATGTGGAGCGCTGTATCACGCCAGTGGGTGGGATGTGGGCGGTGGGGAGCGGACGGTGTAGGAGACACGGGGTGGGGTTTGGGATGACGGTGCGGAAAATTGTGCCATCGTGAGTTTGGGCGACCTCGCGACTGTTGTGGGGGAGTGGGAGGCTGAGTGTGGCGTGGTCGCTGACGTGTTCGCATCCTGTTTATAACCATGGGTGACGGTGTTTCCCTTTGTGTGTCTGCATGTCCTCTTCTGTCACTGAGTCCCGTTATGCTCGTTCGTTCTGATGTTTGTGTCTCGCTCCGTGCCCATGATGATCGTTCTTTATTCACACATTCCGGGACGTATCCGTATTACGTTGGTCCCTCAGTGTGCCCACGTCCCTTTATGTGACCCGTGCCCGTCGATCTGTCCGTGCTCCGTATGTGTTTCTATGTCCCTCATGTTACCGTGTCCCTACATGCCCGCAGCAGTGTCCCGTGTGCCCTTGTTATCCCGTGTCCCCCTCTGTGTCCGTGTCCGCCTTTATGTGACCATGTTCCCGACCGTGCCCACTGCAGTGTCCCGCCGGTCCTGTACCGGCTCGTGTCCCGTGTTCCATGCTTGACCGTGTCACTTGTGCGCCCACAGCCGCGTCCCATTATTACATATGCCCGGCCCTCAGTGTGACTGGTGTGTCCCTTTTGTGACCACAGCCCCGTCCCATTATTACATGTGCCCCTCATTATGACCGGTGTGTCCCCTCTGCGCCCACAGCCGTGTCCCGCCGGCCACGTGTGGGTTCGCTGGTTCGGCGACCACACCATGAGTCTGCAAACGGTGGCGTCGCTGCGCAAATTTCACACCCACAACACGGCCAAACACAAAAAGTGAGCGAATCCCTCTCTACCTGAGCCGTCTCTGTTGTTACATCGGAGCTTGATAATGTGTCGATGGCTGACAGCCGGTGGTACGCTTCCAGAGACGAATATAGACCGTTATAATGCTGGGATTAATAAGTTAATGTAATTCCCGGGAGTTCTCTAATCGTTATGTGCCGTCAGTTGGAGCTCTTTTGTCGACCAACTTCCCAGAGTTCATTATGGTGCACTTCATCAGCATTAATCAAACACATTTCTGTTAGATGAAGCTGGAAATAGCTTTGCTAAGCATCTGTTGCTCGGCCGACCATCCATTTTGTCTGTGATTGCCGGCTTTGATTATGTCGCTGAGTTCGGCGTATTTGCTCAGAGAGCTGGCGTCGCCGAGCCGGTAGCCGAGCTGTGAGAGAGCGGGCTAAATTGCCGCTGGTGGCCGTCCGGCCGCTGCCGGCCGCTGTATTGATCTGGACCGGGCGCTGCTTTGTCGGCAGGTCACACGCGCTGAACGGCAGCTTCGAGGAGGCGCTCCAGGAGGCGCTGACGGCCGTCAACCGACAGCGCAACTAGTAGTTGGCGATCCCGTCAACAGATGGCAGCTAATGCAGTGACCCAAGCCGTACAAACCCGAGTCGACCGGCCACGGGACTCTCTAGTCGAAACATGGGATCTGATTATGATCAGAGCGCCTGATGGCCGATGTTGTTTTCCATACTCTTTAAGAGTTTATTATTTGACACAGCGTCTTAGTGGCGCTCGAACACTGTATCGTATTCGGCCTGAATAGGTGCTCGGCGCTCGCGACCGCTCTTCTGCGCGCTATCGAACGTTATGTGAGGCGCCCGGTGGAGGGCGACACGTGACCTCTTCCTTTTAGTGCTTTCAGCTGTTTTATTTGGTAGCCGTTTGATGGTGATATGTTGGTGCTGGCGTGCAGCGGCGCCCGAGACAGCCGCCGGCCAGTCAGCCCGAGTACAACGGTGTAGCCTGTGTTAGCCGGCGCGTCGCCGGCCGGCCGGCCGGCCCCAGTCTTGTTGTCGCCTGGAGGTGTTTAATGTCGGGAGCCAGCTCTCCTGTCAGTTCCACTCAAAGTGGCCTTATCATGTTGTTAAAGGTCTATAAGTGTGAGAGGCGCGGCGCGCGTGGCCCCGCCCAGGGGGCGCTGTATGGTTGTGGGGCGTGTTGGCCGGGCTGCTCCCCTCCCCCTCCCTCCCAGTACCCGCTCGGTCCGCCAGTCTCGCCGGCGGACCTTCACCAGTGTTCGGAATAACATGCTAAATCGATCAGAGAGCCGGCCCCGAGCCGGCTGGCGTCGCTTCGCACTAATTCTGTGTTGAACGTCCAACAAATAGTATTATGTATGTGTAGTCATTGTTGGAATGCGTGCATGCGTGTGCGCGTGGCGTTGTGTAGTGGGAGGGTGACGATTCAAGTGTTACGGAGCCGATACTCGCTAGTAGCAGTAATATACCTATCGCCCATTCAAATCCGCAGAGTTTGTCGATGAGTGAGTGTGAGCACTCGACAGACGTGAGATGTCTGGTTTCGTCAGACCGCAGGAGCCTAACCCAACAAAACAAAACAAATCGACCGATGTCCAAGCGCGACACGAGTCGTAAGGTAGTCATGTTTTTAGTGTTGGAGACGATTGATAACATTGACGAGGAGTAGCCCCTGCAGAAAACTGCCCTAGGCGGCCGCCCTCCCACTTGCCCATCATTCAGCTTAAGTTGCATGGCATGAGGCAGGCTTGTTTTGATTGGGCTCGCGCCTCGCATGCTAGTGAAATGCGGCAGCGAATGTCGTCCCTTCATGTAGTCAGTGGCTAACTGCGATTCACCTTTTACAGGTTGATCCTTAGTATAAGTACTTGTGATAGGCTCGAGTAAGACATTTATTTGCCAAGCACAACATGCATCATCTGACGTTAACACATGACCATCATTTGCCTCACTCTTAACTGGCGCACTTTGTCTGGATCTCGCCCATCTCGTACGCCATCCCACAATAAAACTCTGACAAAAGTATTTCCAAATGTTTGCTGAGTCTAAGACAACCTATGAACTCGGTCACAGCGGCGTTGCCAGCTGCAATATACCTATTGTAATGGCGTACTTGGTACAGCATGTTCGAGAAAGACATTCAAAATGCCTTGCGGGGTGGGGTGCCTCGCCACCAACACACACAGTCGCCCTAACATTAAATAGTCACCGGCCTAGGAAAGCGTGTCGTCAGTTCCCCGTCTGCTGCCACTCGGCAAGTTTGGGCTTCAGGTGATCCTTGTACATCTGGTAGCACACGCCGGCCGTGAGACAGGACACGACGAACCCCTGCGCTGCCACACGCATGTGGATGAGGTAGACGGACATCTTCATGTCCTTGGGTCTCCGCCGAAGGTTGTACAGGTTGTAGCCCACAATACCAGTGAGGCCCACCAGCCCTGGGGAACGGAGACCAGATTGTACTCAGATGAGGTTCGCGAAAATTTCCGTAACATGTTAGGACCATCTGCCGGCCAAAAGTGGATGTAGGTATTTATGTGCAGTTGGCCTTGCTTTCTAAGGTAAGAACCATTGACTACGAAATGTTGGCAGAGTTTGTCAATGTTCACAGATCCTCGATATATGCAATAAAGAATGTAAATCATATGCCAATAAAAAGTATGATCAAATCCATGAAAAACGATCGCAAAACAATATAACGACTTGTGAATTTTGTTGATTTAGCTAAGCAGAAAGCTACTATGCATGGTCTACAAAAAAGAACTGTCGTGATCGCGAAACTATGAGAGTCAACTAATACTATAATAGCAATTTGGAAGACATCCATACCTTCTGAAATACCGTTCGCCGATCGATCCATACATCAAATAACGTTTGATGCCCTGTATCTCTATGACTAGGCACACTCACTCTCAAGGGCTAATCAGGCACGAGTTGGGGAGATCAACAGCGTACAATTACCCCAAAGGAAGGATCACGCTCACCTGCAACCATGAATGGCGATTCTTTGATCTTCCTAGCCAGCTTCGATTCTGAACTGGCTTCCGAGTCAAACGACTCGCTGGGAATGGCCCTTTCTGAACTCATGGTAACGGAGGTGAAGACTGAAAATGGAAGACATCTGGTGATTATTCGGCCAACAATAGGCGACAGGCAGACATGGAGCAGCTTAAAATCAGCAATAGGAATGTGACAAAATGGTGCCCACTGTCCACGGCCCACGCATTGACTTGTGAGTCATAGGTTGATGAGATCTTTTGAGTTTGACTATTGTCAATTGTCGACGAGTGTTTGATTCTCGTAAGTCTCAAGTCCTGCCGCGCGTGCCCATTCAAGAGTGCAACAGCAGCCGGTAACCAGTCAGTTTGACAGGTCAAGGCCACCTGGAGCAGGTGGTCTCGTTGGTAAGTGGCCAAACCATATCCAAAGCAGGGGCTGCCGGCTGGATGGCTAGCACCAGCAGAGCAAGTGACTTTTATAAAAAATATGGTTGTTTGCAATGGCCAGTAGGGGAGAGTGGGGCAAAGCGGCCACCCGGGGCAAAGCGGCCACCCATCGTTTTAGCCCTTCATGACTGGCGTCAGTTCCAATTTATGGTTTCCAATTATACTTCTCTTCACGGTCGTTCGAATGAGCCAGACCGGGGTTTCAGGCCCATCACCATTGTTCTGTGAAACACGGAAAAGCATTTCTTGCCAGGTTACCAACTACGTTTACAATTTTTAAATGTTATGTTATTCCATAACCGTTTGGAATTTTTATAAGCGTTCTTGTCCATGCATTGCATGGTTATCGTACATGTATTCTACCAATTTTAATGTTTTTTACCCCACTAATAGCTAAGCTGGAATATTTTTGTCTCGGACGGTATGCGCGGGGCAAAGTGGCCGGGGCAAAGTGGCCACCCCCCAATTGGCCATAAGTTGCTTCCATCTGGATAAAAAACATAATTTTTATTCAAATGTGTCGTCATGCAATTATCTTGGCCAGTTTTCAGTTGCATGAGTTACCAAATAATGCAATTCAATGTTTATTTTCATGAAAATCCTTTCTTTGTTTACCTACGGGTGGAAGATGATAAAGTAAACAGCCATCCTCGCTTAACCTTGTCACCATCAAATACCGTAGTCGTACACAAGACAACTATTTTGTTTCTCATATCGGGACTTGAGAAGACGCCGGTGGCCGCTTTGCCCCTGGGTATGGGGCAAAGTGGCCAATATGCATAGGTTTAAAGTTTTGTCAATATCTTTCATATGTGAACGCCTTTGGAAATAAAACGCAGTTGAAATAAAAGGCAACTTAATAGGGATCACATTGGTATAGAAAGAATCTTTCCAAGTTTAAAAATCAAGCGTTGGCATCGTGAGAAGCGTTAGGGTGGCCGCTTTGCCCCACTCTCCCCTACCACCAGCTGGTAGCTCAGTTGGTGTGGGGCATTGGATGCCTGGCGATGAGACAGAAAGTCGAGGTTTAAGTTGAAGTCACTCAGGCTGCAGGCACACCCTGGCTCCAGCCTTCACATACAGCACTCATGACTGAGAGGGATGGCCGAGGCCAGTCTGCAAAGTATGGCAATTTTGACGAGATCTCGTCGGTGCGGGCTTGTTCGGCTGGTGTGGATTTGATGCGGTGGACCAGAACAGATAGATGAGGAGAATCGAAGAAAAACATTGTTGGAGCTTCGACGTGCAATTCAGTGTGCTCTCGCGCATAGGCGTCGCCAGACATTTTCGGTTGAGGGGGGGGGGGCAAAATCAAGTTTTGTGTTAAATCTTGCCTTTCCTCAGCCGTTATACTCACTCGTTTTACATACGAGTATCATTCGACGCGCAATGGTGCGAGGAATCCGATGGTGACAAAGTTTTCCTTCTAGCTATAGCATGCATTTTTTTACAAAAAAAAAATCAAAATTTTGAAATTTTTTTGGACAAAAACGACCATTAGAATTACAGGGGCTGCGATTGCCGACGCACTGCAGAGGGCCCCTGTGCAGACTCTCGTCGCTCATGATTATTACCCAGAAAAAGGTGAAAAACGCTCCATTTGAATCGGATCAACTCGCTAAAACCTTCATTCACGCATGCATGCCGAGGTTTTACGTGAAATGCATAGGGCTTATCCCAGCCGCCGATTGTAGCTAAGAATTGGGCATTCGACGGAGTTTGAGAGAGAATGTCGGAAGTGTGAATCGGAAGTACATCATTCATCCTTGCTGCAGTGAGAGGAAGTGTTTTGTTCGCTCGAGGATGAACAAAAAGTTTCTGGTTTTTCGAGTGAAGCAATCGCTGCAAACGCGACCAAATATATTTAACGGAACCAAAAGTTACGCACGGCATAGCGGCAAGGGATCCCTTAGAGATAGGCTTGCGACTTCCAGGCCATTTCAGGCCACTCAGGGTCAGTGTGGACTCTCAGAAGCCTGCTTAGGATCCCGGAGATCGGCGTGGGTCACCCCAAATATTTATGTGTATGTGGTGCTTTAGGGATTTCCGAGCCTAAGGTGGGCCCGGAAAGCCCTTTAGGGCACACGAGCTTTCAGAAACCAGTGTGGGCGGCGGGCGCTAAGAGGCTGGGCCCAGGGTGAGCCTGGAGCCCTCGAATAACAGTGTGAACCGTCGGGGTCTGTGTCGAATCCTTAAGGACCCTACGTAGGTAGGGACATAAGAAACATGTGTTGCGGCCCTCAGAGGGACACGTGAGTTGTGACCCCTCAGATGCCGGGTTGGGGTTAGTAGACTCTGTCGCCTCAAAAGTTCGGCTGAACTATCAGAGGCCAGTTGAGGTGTTCAGAAATTTTCGAAGGCATCCTCAAAGATTCGTGTGGCCCTTCAGAGGTCTACGTATGTATAAGGTCCTCAAAGATCCCTGTATGGGCCCTCTAGAGAACATGGACACCAGTGGGACTCTCAGAGGCCGGTTTGGGCCCTCCGAAAGCTTCCTTAGAGCTCAGTGGAGCTCCTTAGGAGCCTGTGTGAAAAGCAGGCTATTGAGCCCTGCGGCACTTGAACAGTACTTGTGCCTGTCGCAGACATTTGACGAGAGTTGAAAAAGGCCCCGAAGATTTCGTGTCACGCTTTGAACGAAAATTATGTGTCAGCACTCCAAAACTTATGAAAATCAGCTACAAAATGTAATAAAGAACCAACTAGGAACATGGAATGAATCATAGCATTGACATTTCCGAGTCTGGAGTCGGAGTCTTGAAGATTTTGGCGACTGCGACTCTGACTTTGGTTTAAACTGCACGCTCCAACAGAGTCTGACCTCACAGGCATTCTCAGAAAGGTACCCCCATTTTTTCCCGACTCCAAAATCTCATCGGATCTGTATCGATCTCAGGGGGTGCCCGGTCCGAGGTTGGGGGGGGGGGGGGGGCAAGCTGCCCCGCTTGCCCCCCCCCCCGTGGCGACGCTAATGCTCTCGCGTTTAAATGTTTAATTGAGTGTGCGCAGAGCGGACTATGCCAGCGCTGGTCGTCCCAT